CCCAAAATCTCTGTAAATGTTTATGAAAATTAATAAAATATAATTATAGAAAAAAAAAGCCTTAGAAAACAGGTCAATTTGGAAAAAAACATGCTTTGAATTAACTCCACAGTAAATAATGATAACAGAAACCATTTTTAAGAAGAAAAAATGAAAATATACGAATAACAGGAAACCTCAAATCCAAATGATCATCTGTTCCATATTACAAAAGACTAACATACCTATGTTTTGACGAATTTTCAATGTTATTGTAGTTTTAATTGGTTGTTTTGGGGGTTCATCATCTGTGTTATCCAAAGAAGCTTCACTTTCCACAGAGGAACTCATACAAGCTGTAAGAAAATAATAAATATGAGAATTAAAAACCATTTTAGAATGAATATTAAAAACATTCTAAAGAACATGGAGAATCAACTGCATTTTTATGACCCTTTTTAAAAACAGTATGATAAATTTCTGTATTTTCAAATTGAGAATTAAATAGAATGGAGTACATATGTCCAGCTGAAGTTATTTTCATTATTACTTGATGTAGTTTTATGACTGACTTATACCAAAAGGCTATGAAGTCAGCTTTCAATGAATACCACAGATTATAATTTGTTTACTACTTGGGAGTACACTGTTAACAAAATTCAAACCAGTCAGCAGCAGGTTAAACATTCTTAATTGAAACTACATTGTATCATTCTTATTGGTCATTTAAACAAATTTCAATCAATGAAAATTAATACTAAAACCAGAGATCAGTAAACGGCTTTTCATGTGACAAATCTGATTAAAAGAAAGAAATTAACACAGTGGATTCTGACTCACTGTGACCCTTTATGGGGTTTCTGAGGCTCTCATTCTTTACTGCTTATCCTCCACCCAAAAAGCAGTAGTGGATTCAAAGCACCAACCATTCAGTTAGCAGCTCGACATATAGCACACTATGATAAATGTTTTATATACTGGCCATGAGCTAAGGATGAAGGGCTGCTAAACCTCAAATTACCTACTGGTCATATAAAGAAAAAATTTTGCAAACTTCTGCTCAAATCTGAAACTTGAGTAACTCATAATCACAAATTTGGCCTTAAGGTAACTGAGGGTTAAAGAAAGTGAGTTACACTATTCCCATTCTACAGAAGAACAACCAAAGTTGAGAGTAAGTAAATGTCTATTCCAGGGTCACAGGCAGCACAGGAAGGGTTAAAATACAAAAGCTCCTTTCACTGCACTAAAACCAATTTGCAAAAGTTGACCTATCTGAACTCATTTAATACTGATTTAGTGCTTGTACAAAAATGGCCTCTGAGGTCACACTGTTGTTATGTGCCGTCAAATCGCCCAAGACTCATAGTGACCCTATCAATGTACAACGGCGCTGAAGCCTGCCCTATTTTAAGCCAGTCTCACTGTTTCCGACATACCTACCCTCATTGCCTCTGTTACTGTATAAATCCACCTCATCCAGCGTCTTCCTCTCCTGCGCTGTCCCTCCCCCTTTCCAAGCATGATGTCATTCTCCAAGGAATGGTCTCTCCTAGCCACATGCCCAAAGTATGTGACACAGAGCTTCAAAATCCTAGCTTCCAAGGAAATATTGGGTTTCACCCTCTCCAAGACAGACCTATTTATTTTCTTGGTGCTCTAGGTACAAGACCCTTCTACAGCACCACAATTTGAAGGCATAGATTTTTCTTCTGTCATCCTTGGTCATTGTCCACCTCTTTGATGCATAGCAAGTAATTGCAAAAACCATGGCCTGGACTAGGCACACCTTACTCTACAGACTGATATTGTTGCTTCTCAGTACTCTGGAGAAGTCCCTGACAGCAGATTTTCCCTATGCAATCAGTCTTTTGATTTCCTGACTGCAGGTGCCAAGAGTGTTGATTGTGGAGCCTAGGAAGCTGCAATTATTAACAACCTCATTTTTTCTCCTATCCTGATGCTGCCAATTGGCCGAGTGGTGAGAATCTTTGTTTTCTTGATGATGAGTTTCAATACATTTTGAAGACTACAGTCTTTGACTTACTGCAGCAAGCACTTCAAGTTCTCCTCAGTTTCAGCAAGGAAGGTTGTGTTATCTGCATAATGTAGGTTGATGAGTCTTCCTCCAATCCTGATGCCATATTCCTCCTCATAAAGTCCACCCTCCTGAATGATCTGTTTTGCATATAGATGGAGAAGGTATGAAGACAGGACACATCCGTGACACACACTGATTTTGAACCATGCAGTGTTTCCTTGATCTGTTCTAAGGACTGCTTCCTGGCATGAGCACAATCAAGTGTTCTGGGATTCTCATTCTTCTCAGTTAGTCACAGTTTGTTGTGATCCACAGTCAAATGCCTCTCTGCATAGTCAATGAAACAAAGAGACATTCCTCTGGTACTCTGCTTTCTGCCAAGAACCCATTGGACATTGACAATAATGTCTCTAGAACCACAACCTCTTCTCAACCCAGCTTATATTTCTGGTAGTTCTCTGTAGATGTGTTCCAGTCATTTCTGGATAATCTTCAGCAGGATTTTGGTTGTATGTGATATTATTTGATAATTTAATTCTATCAGGTCACCTTTTTTGGAATGGGAATATACATGGATCTCTTCAAGTCAGTTAGCCAGGTATTTGTCCTCCAGATTTCTTGGACAACCTGGTAAGCAAATTCAGGGCAGCATCTGTTTGTTGAAATATGTGAACTGGTCTTCCACTGATTCCTGGGACTTTAATTTTTGCTAAGTCCTTCAGAGCAGCCAGCACTATGCACTTCAAAACCACTGCCTCTTGATCATATAGCTAGTTGGTTTTCATTTTCTCCCCCTCTTTTCCCCCCCGCCCCAGTGTTGAAAAATACTGGAAACAAGCAAATAACCTTGTAGGAAAATCTAATATGCAAAACAGATGAAAAGAAAACTACTCTGAGTGAAGCAGGGATTGAGAGTTTCCGGAGCCAGAGCTGCTGTTTCCTATTTCTTTCACCTCACAGAAACAGTGAGATTTCTCATCTACAAAACTCTTACAAGAACTTCATCTGGTTTATGCTAGTCTATATAAACAACTGAAGGCATTCGAGGGGAGACTACCAAATCAAGAGTCATTTTCTTTCAGCTGATTTTGACTGATGTTGTGGTCACTGATAACTAGAGTCAAAACCAATCTATAGCTGCCCTCCAGCGAGTTTTCAGAGGCTTTTAATTGCGTAGGAGACTGCCTGTACTCCCACAGAGCAGTTGGTGGATTCCAACCACTTGTCTTTGGGATTACATTGCAGTTTTCTAACCAAAAGGCTATCAGGGCTCTCTATTGACTGAGAGCAACCCGATTATATAGAGAGCATTTCCCAGGCTGTAATTTTTATAGAGGCAGATTGCCCTTTCCTGTTGAGTGGCTAGTGGAGTAGCAGCCAAGCAATTGACCATTGTGCCACCAGAGTGACACAGTACAAGCTAAATTCAAAGTAAAATATCTTACTGTTTAAAAATGTCTGTAAAGATTTCTTTATATACCAAGGTAACAAGATCAAACAATAGCTTATAAAGACAGTATACAAATACACTGGAATAGACATCAGTAGTACCAACATTGTTCAAAGAAAAAGGAAAAAGATTATCTACTACTTATTAATTTCTCATCACACTTCAATTTTCAATTCAGTTTAATAATCCATGGTAACATCTCATTTGAATTAAGTGACTCACCGTTGTTGCTTTTGTAGTTATAGTATAATACTAAATTACTTAAACTCATAAACTCATTGCCATCAAGATGGAACACACTCATTGCTGATCATCTTTTGTGCTCCCGAGGCTGTAAATTGCAAAGGAGATTTCCCACCTTTTTCCTCAGAGCCACTGGGTTGGCAAGGACAATTCCTTAGAGACTACACCACCAGAGCTCTCTTACTTCAAACATTAACAGGAAAAACCCTCTTGTTTTTTCTTCTTCCAATGATAGTTGCCTATACATTCTTGTTCTTCTGTCACTGGAATTCAATTTTTTCCTATCTATAGTCCCTAGTTCCTCAAGACATATATTTCAGTTTTACACTGTATTAACTCACCAGCTTCAAATTTCTCCCAACCTTACACTGTACATAATATTTACTGTTTTACAGTTTCATACCTTATTAGTGGTATCACAATATTTTCATCTTTGAGTCAATATAACCTTTAGTTAAGATTAAAAAATTAACAAAAATAATAGATACAACATTAATTATTTACTTAAGGGTATTTCTTACTTTAAATCTTGTACTTAACATAAAATTTTGTTTCACAAATTCAATTATTCAAATGTGACTAACAAAGTGACCTCTATTAAAAAAAAAGATACATGATTGCTCTGCTATTTCCATTTTTCAAGCGTTACAGAAAAGAATACTGATTTTTCATACATTTGAGATCATTTTACTGAAACAGCATTTTTAAAGGATGAACAACACTTCTACACAAAAATTTCATTAGTGAGGGCTTGCAATATTTTAACTCAAATTTCAGCTATAATGTGCCATTACCTATAAACATTTCAGTATATTCTCTAAAATTAACATATGATTCAAGAGAAAAAGAAATCATAACTATTCTCTTATGCATCAATAACTTGGGTTAAGCTCATGATGCCTTGGTTGCAGAAAGTGAAGAGGACTTGAAGCACTTGGTGCAGAAGGTCAAGGACTATGGTCTTCAATATGGGTTATATCTCCATATCAAGAAAACAAAGTTCTTATTACTAGACCAACAGGCATTATCATAATAGATGGAGAAAAGATTGAAATTATCAAGTGTTTCTTTTTTACTTGCAATCACAATCAACACTCATGGTAACAGAGTCAAGAAATCAAATGACATGTTGCATTGAGAAAATTTCCAAAATGCTAAAGAGCAAGGATGTCAGTTTCAAGGTTAAGGTACCCTTGAATGAAGCCATGATATTTACAATTGCTTCCTATGCATCTCAGAGTTAGACAATGAATGAGAATGATGGAAGTAAAATTGAAGCCTTTTAATTGTAGTGTTGGAGAAGAGTACTGAATATCCATGTAAAGCCAAAAGAATAAACAAGGATGGTGAACATCTCATTCACTTTGTGCATATTGTCAGGAGGGGCCAGTCCTTGGAAAAAGACACAAGACTAGAAAAGATGGGAAAAGGAAGGCCCTTAGCAAGATAGACTGACATAACTTTAACAATGGCCTCCAGGAGGCAAGTTATATAAGGAGAGTACACACTATAGGGTAAGGTTCATAGGTTTGCTGCGAGTCACAGTCAACTAGAGAGCACATACCACCACCACCACTTTTTAATATGAGCTTATTTAACTACAGACAAATGCCAAATCAATC